AATGACACCTTTTTCTATCATTTCAAATATTTTTTATTAATTTTTAACAGATTCAATATAGCTCATACCTTTCAATCTATATATGAAGATAATTCTTTTCAATCTATATATGAAGATAATTCAAAAATCTTGTGAAAATGGAGTTAAAGTACAGTTTTGGGTGCAGGTCTTCTTTTTTTTTTGTTGACAGGCAGAGTGGACAATGAGAGAGAGAGACAGAGAGAAAGGTCTTCCTTTGCCATTGGTTCACCCAACAATGGCCGCCGCGGCCGGTGCACCATGCTGATCCGATGGCAGGAGCCAGGTACTTCTCCTGGTCTCGCATGGGGTGCAGGGCCCAAGCACTTGGGCCATCCTCCACTGTCTTCCCGGGCCACAGCAGAGAGCTGGCCTGGAAGAGGGGCAACTGGGACAGAATCCGGTGCCCCGACCGGGACTTGAACCCGGTGTGCTGGCGCCGCAAGGGGGAGTATTAGCCTAGTGAGCCGCGGCGCCGGCCAGGTGCAGGTCTTTAACCTAATAGTGAGGCTCCTACTCACCATGCTGGAGTTCCCGGGTGAGTCCAGGCTCCAGCTCCTGACTCCAGTCCTCTTTTGGCCACTGCAGACTCTGGGAGGCCACAGGGGTGGCTCAAGTACTTGGGATCCTTCACCCACGTGGGAGGCCTGGGTTGTTTCTGGCTCTCTTTTGGCCTGGACGTAGCACTGGCCACTGTTGCGGACATTTGGTGTATCAGCCAGATGGGAATGCTGTCTCTCTATCATCCTGTCTCTCAAATCAATAAATTAATTAGAACATTTGCAAGTGTATTTTGGTGCAAACCTATCTTGAAACTCATGCACTGTGCTTTCATAACACATTTCTCATGAATTTTTGAAGTCCCTTCATATCTGCTCTTTAAATATTGTTTCTTTGCACTTGGCAACAGATATTTTGTGGGTATTATTTATTAAGAAAGTTCATTTCTATTCTCTGTTTATTAAAGGTTTTTGTTTTTTTATTGTGAAGTGATATTGGCATTTATTAAAATAATTAGTTTTTCTCCATCAACTGTGATAGTTACACAATGCCTGTCCTTTAATCTTTTAAAACTGTAATAACATGGATACATTTGGAATTACTGAGCTAATTTTACATTTCTGAAATAATCCTAATTTTATTGAAAATCGTTGTGTCCTCATTTTATTATATTTAATTACATATCCATTTTGGTTAATATTTTTAAGACATTTGCATTGGTGTTCATGAAATTCGTTAGCTATTTTTAATTCTTATTACTCCCTTTTCATGTTTCTATATCGATGTTTACCTTGATCTTACTGAGCAAGTTGGAGATTTATTCTACTTCCCATTATCTGGAGAAAAAAGAAATCGTGACATTAGTGTCAGTATTTTTTTTTCCAAATGCTTAGAAGAGTTTATTGGTCAAGGCTTCTGTCGTTGAAGCTTTGTTTACCATGTGCATATTTTAAGTGCTTAATATATATGATTTTGCAGATTCTATTTCATTGTGATTCAGTTTGTAGGAAGGTGTTTTTAAAGATTTATTCAGAGAAAGAGAGAGAGAGAGGAGAGAGAGAGAGGTTTCTTTTGTCCACTGGTTCAGTCCCCAAATGATCATAAAGGCCTGGGACTGAGGCTGGAGCCAGGAATGCCATCCAGGTCTCCTGTACAGGAGGCAGGCACCCAAGTACCATCACTTGCTGCCACCCAGAGTGCATAGAAAGAGGAAGCTGGAGTCGAAAGTAGAACCTAGGCTTGAACCCAGCAGTCTGATACAGGCTGCAGGCATCCCAAGCATGCCTGAACTACTGTGCCAAATGTCTACTCTGTGAATTCAATTATTTGAAAAGATACAGGATAGTCTATTTCATCTTAAGATTCCGTGGTTTGTTTCTTCTAAGGAATGTGTCTGTTGCACCCCAGTTAATGAATGTATAAGTACAGCTTCATTCATTAAGTTTTTTATTACCTATTCATATGTGATAGGTCCATAGAGAGGTCTTCTCTTTAGTTTCTGATATTGCAATGTGTGTTCTCTCCTTAATTCATATTCAGAACATCATTGTTCACCCATCTTCTCAAAGAAACAGCTTTTCTCCTGTTGATTGTATTTGTCTCATTGATATCTTACTATTATTACTCCTCTTTAATTTTTGTTCCTTGGCTTTGTTTCACTTTATTTTTCATGTGGAAGATAACTGACTTGAGAACTCTCACTTTCTTATATAAACCTTACTACTACAAATTTCTCAAAGTCACTTTACTTTGCATCCCATATGTTTTATTATGTCACATTTTAATTTTTAATTTCCATTTAAAAGATTTTCTAATTGTCTTTTTCAAGTTGTGTTTTATCCCTGGAGTTGAATAAGTGAATTGTTCCATTGAAAAAATATTGAAGGTTTTTTCGAAGAGTATCTGTTATTAGTTCTTGTTGCCAATGAATACAGAGTTCTTAAAAAAATTCATGCAAAAAAGGAATTAAAATTAAGTTTATTTTACTGCAAAATACTTTGAAATGCACTTTTTTCATAATATGTACTTTCATACAAATTTGGAAGACCATTTGTATGCATGGATTTCCAAAAAAATTTGTCTTTCAATTGTGAACTTTTTGAGGTACTCCTGTTCCCCCACCCTCACCCCAGAATATGGTGGATGATCCCAGTGCAAAGGGGAAGTTCTGTTGTTGCTGAATATTCTGTGAATCTCAGACAGTACAAGCTGTTAAGTTCTCTGTATTTCTAGGTTCTTTGTTTTGTTCTATTTATTGAGAAGACTGATATTGTGGATTTGTCTGCTTTTCTTATTTTGGAGCTATTTGCTTCATGTATTATGAAGTTGTGTTAATGGATGTATGTAAATTTATTGTCACATCTATTTGGAAAATAACCCCTATATCATTTTACAGTGCCCTGTTCTACCCTGGGGAAAATTCCTTGCTCTCGGGTATGCCGTGTGCATTACCAACACTGCCGCACCCTGGTCCTCAAGTGTGCCATGTGCACTACCCATGCTGCGTGCACCCTGGTCCTTAGGTGTGCTGTGTGCATGAATGACACTGCCGCACCCTGGTCCTCAGGTGTGCTGTGTGCACTACCCACGCTGCTGCACCCTGGTCCTCAGGTGTGCCGTGTGCACTACTAACACTGCCTCACCCTGGTCCTCAGGTGTGCTGTGTGCACTACCACACTGCCTCACCTGGTGCTCAGGTGTGCTGTGTGCACTACTGACACTGCCGCACCCTGGTCCTCAGGTGTGCTGTGTGCACTACCACACTGCCTCACCTGGTGCTCAGGTGTGCCGTGTGCACTACTGACACTGCTGCACCCTGGTCCTCAGGTGTGCCGTGTGCACTACTAACACTGCTGCACCCTGGTCCTCAGGTGTGCTGTGTGCACTACCACACTGCTTCACCTGGTGCTCAGGTGTGCTGTGTGCACTACCTACACTGCCGCACCCTGGTGCTCAGGTGTGCCGTGTGCACTACTGACACTGCCGCACCCTGGTCCTCAGGTGTGCCGTGTGCTCACTGCTGCACAGCTCTGTATGGGGATAGGGAGAGTGAGGATCATGGTAACTCACAATGCCTCACAAAATGCTAACATAGTAAATCATAAATGAACTCTTAGAAATCAGTAAGAAATAGGCAAATAAAAGGGAATTAAAAAGAGAAAACGGGATAGAGGAAAATGAAACAATGCACATGACGAATAGAGTATGAAAGTGATCTAGCTTAACACTAACAGAAAACAAAACAATTGTTGGTATATTATGTTGTGAATCCTAATGTTTGTACAGCTTTTGGAAATGTGGAACTGTCATTCAAACGCAAGGAGAAGTCACTCATTTGCAATAGATTTATTATTCTCCATCCTCCACTACCTCTTCTTCCTCTTTCTCTACCTTCTTCAATGCTTCTTTACTTTTATTTTTATGTTTTAATGTTCAAAGTATCAGGTATTTATTTGACGGTATTGGTTTCAAACAATTTTGGGGGTGCTACTTTTGAATTTTTTATTTTTAATTTTACAGTTTTTGATAGATCCAATATATTTCATAGATACAATTCTAGGAATATTAATTACTCTATTCCCTCCCTTTCTTTTTTGTTTCTTCCTTTCTTTTGTATTTTTAAGTTTTATTTATTTTTATTTAGTTGAAAGGCAGATAGAAACACACACACATACACACACACACAGAGAGAGAGAGAGAGAGAGAGAGATCGACAGAGATCTTCCATCTGATCCTTCCCTCTCCATGTGCAGGGCAGAAGCTAGGATCCAGAATGCCTTCTGAGTCTCCCACATGGGTGTTATGGACACAAGTGCTTGAGCCATTACTGATTGCATCGCAAGATGCGCAATACCAGGAAGCTGGAATCAAGAGCAGAGCCAGAACCCAAACCCATGCACTCTGATACAGGATGTGGGCTTCCCAAGCTGTGTCCTAACCGCTATACCAAAAGCCCACCAGCATGTTTTCATACTCAAAGTTTTTTGCTCTTGTTTTTGTCGCTCCCCATCTTCGTGGAGGAACGACACAGGACCCTGCGCTGTTCTTTCGTCTGCTCGGCCCTCCCCGGGTTTGCTGCTGGTTCTTCCCGGGTTGGCTACTGTCCCTTCCACCTCCGTGGAAGGGCGGTTCCCCCTGGCCGCTTTCCCCACTTCCGCAGGGGAGCAGCACACCGCCGGCCGGCTCTCTCGGGGGCTGCACAGGTGTTCCCCTTAGGTGTTCCTCTTAGATGTTCCTGGTGCATGTCGTCTCTCTCCTCCTTTATAGTCCTCTTCCACCAATCCCAACTCTGCTACCCACACGCCGAGTATGCTGCTCTCCTCCAATCAGGAGCAGGTCCTACAGTTTATTGGTTGAACTGGAGGCAGCTGTGTAGAAGCTGTTTTCTTCTCTCCCAGCGCCATATTGTGGGAGAGCAGATGCACAGAATAAGTCTTAATTCCAGCAACAGTATAGTCCGAGTTGCTCCCCACAGATCCCCCTTTCTTTTTATTTTTTGGCGTTGATACGCGCCTGTCTTCGGTGTCCCGCGGCACACACTCTGCTCTACTTGCTAGAGTTGCCACAGGTTCTTACAAGTCCTATCAATCAGGCAAACCGAATCCGGGTCCTCTCTTCGCCATGTTGTGAGGAGGTTTTTAGGCGCTGATGCGTGCCTGTCTTCGGTGACCTGCGGCTCATACTCTGGTCGAGCCGCCTGCTGGTGCTTACCGCCCTACTAATCAGGCAGACCGAATCCAAGCCTTCTCATTGCCATATTGTGGGGAGGCCTATTGGTGTTGATTCGTGCCTATCTTCGGTGACCTGCAGCTCATACTCTGGTCGAGCTGCCTGCTGGTGCTTACCGCCTTACTAATCAGGCAGACCGAATCCAAGCTCTCTCATTGCCATGTTGTGGGGAGACTATTGATGTTAATAACGTGCCTGTCTTCGGTGACCTGCGGTGCATAAGCTGCTAGCCGCCCGCAGGTGCTCACCACCTCCCTAATCAGGCAGACCGAATCCAAGCCTTCTCATTGCAGTATTGTGGGGTGGCCTTTCTATTTCTCTATTTCTCTATCTCCGGGCATTCCTATTTCTCCCATTTTACTTATGTCTGCCAACATTCCTATTTCTCTCATTTTACTTCTAAACTTCTGTTTCTCCTATCCCTGCGGCTTCCCGGCGCCCGCCCCGAGGCTGCTTCTCGGCGGCTTTCCGGCTCTGAGCCGCTTCAGCCCGCGCCTCTCTCATCTGCGCGGCTTCGCACTAGCCCAGCGTTCCCTATCTACTTGAGCCCTGCACGCTCTGTCTGCGCGCGGCAGCCTCTGCGAGTCACACAGCGTAGCTTACGTCTCCGCCACTAGCATTCAATCCAAGTTCCCCGGGCTAGCCTGGTGAATTCAACCCAGCTCACGTCTCCGCCCCACGATTTGGCTTCCCGTCCTTTGCTCCCCGGGCTAATCAGACGGATCCCAATCTGGCTTACGTTTCCGCTTCTGGTTTCAACTTTTCGCCCCTTATTCCCGGGCTAACTTGAGAATCCCAAAGTGGCTTTCGTCTCTGCCTTGGCCTGCCCCCCGTGGCTTCAATTTCCCTAACATTTTTCTCTACCCGGTATGTTTCCCCAAGCTTTCTTCCAACAATATTCCTCCCTCATTTCTCCTGGCTTCTCCCCACAGTCCGTATCCGAGTCTAAGTTTCTTCTAGGTTTCACTTTCACTTTCAACCTGCAGTCCGTATCTAAGTCTAAGTTTCTTCTTGCTTTCACTTTAAATCCTAACTTCTTTCCCACAGTCCGTATCCGAGTCTATGCCTAGGCTTTCGATAGCTTCTTCCGGCACCTTTCTCGTCCGGCTTTCCCTAGGCTGTTTGCTAGTCTCTCTCTCCGATATTTTCCACTTCTTCCTGTTTCTTCCCTCCTAAGTTTCCTATCCGTCCTAGGTTTCCTATCCGAGTCAAGGCACCATTATGTCGCTCCCCCTCTTCGTGGGGGAACGACACTAAGCCCTGCCTAGGCTTCCTATCCGAGTCACGGCACCATTATGTCGCTCCCCATCTTCGTGGAGGAATGACACAGGACCCTGCGCTGTTCTTTCGTCTGCTCGGCCCTCCCCGGGTTTGCTGCTGGTTCTTCCCGGGTTGGCTACTGTCCCTTCCACCTCCGTGGAAGGGCGGTTCCCCCTGGCCGCTTTCCCCACTTCTGCAGGGGAGCAGCACACCGCTGGCCGGCTCTCTCGGGGGCTGCACAGGTGTTCCCCTTAGGTGTTCCCCTTAGATGTTCCTGGTGCATGCCGTCTCTCTCCTCCTTTATAGTCCTCTTCCACCAATCCCAACTCTGCTACCCACACGCCGAGTATGCTGCTCTCCTCCAATCAGGAGCAGGTCCTACAGTTTATTGGTTGAACTGGAGGCAGCTGTGTAGAAGCTGTTTTCTTCTCTCCCAGCGCCATATTGTGGGAGAGCAGATGCACAGAATAAGTCTTAATTCCAGCAACAGTATAGTCCGAGTTGCTCCCCACAGTTTTGAGGCAGTGTATGGTTTGGCCTTTTTTTGTGATGTCCAAACTTTTGCTATTTTTTTTTTGACAGGCAGAGTGGACAGTGAGAGAGAGAGACAGAGAGAAAGGTTTTTCTTTTGGCCGTTGGTTCACCCTCCAATGGCCTCCACGGCCACGCTGATCCGATGGCAGGAGCCAGGTGCTTATCCTGGTCTCCCATGGGGTGCAGGGCCCAAGGACTTGGGCCATCCTCCACTGCCTTCCCGGGCTACAGCAGAGAGCTGGCCTGGAAGAGGGGCAACTGGGACAGAATCCGGTGCCCCGACTGGGACTAGAACCCGGTGTGCCGGCACTGCAAGGTGGAGGATTAGCCTAGTGAGCCGTGGCGCTGGCTATTTTTCTTTTAGTTAATGTTGTATTTACATCATTTCATTTAAGGTAACTATTGATGTAATTTAGTTTAAATATCTCATCTTATTTGTTTTCATCCTGTTTCTTTTCTGTTCATTTGTTTGTTTTTAACTGACACATAAAAGTTGTATACATTTTAGGTTACCACGTGGTGTTTTGATACATGTATATACTGCATAATGTCAAGTCAGTATATCTATCTCCTCAAACATCTACTATTTCTTTATGGTGAAAGCATGCAAAATCCATTCTATTTAAATCATCTGCTCTTTTTTTGTTATTTTTTGGATTGATTGAAATACTTACAATGTTATTTTCCCTCTATTTTTGGCATTTGGATATGCATTTAAAAATTTTGTAATGTTTTCCTAAGTTTTCAATATGTATCATTAATTCATCACAATCTAGCTTTAAATAATAATATAGCACTTTCCTTAAAGTGTTAACATTTTGTTTTCTCTACATACTATTTGTTGAACTCTTTTTTTAAAGATTCTATTTAATTATTTATTGAGAGAGAGAGTTACAGACAGTGAGAGGGAGAGACAGAGAAAGGTCTTCCCTACATTGGTTCACCCCTGCAATGGCTGCAACGGTCAGAGCTACACAGATATGAAGCCAGGAGTCAGGAGCCCTCTCCAGGTCTCCTAAGTGGGTGCAGGGGCCCAAGGACCTGGGCCATCCTTTACTGCCTTACCAGGCCACAGCGGAGAGCTGGACCAGAAGTGAAACAGCCAGGACCACAACCGGCACCCACATGGAATGCCAGCACCGCAGGTGGAGGATCAACCTTCTCTGCCACGGCGCCGGCCCTTGTTGAACTCTTTTACTTAGGATAACATTAACTACACAAGCATTGAGTGTACTAGAAAAAATCATTGTGGAAATTGAGAGTGGGAATATGAGGTGAAGGGGGAGGAGGGTTTGAGCATGGGTAGGAGAAGGGGTGGGGGAGGGAAGTGCCATTCTACTCCTGTAATGGTATGAAGGAAACACATGAAACTTGTATAACTTAAATAAAATATATATAAAAATTTTATAGCCTTCTGACAATATAATTTCAATCAAGCTCATATTTTGTTCTATTTCAGTAATGTACTTTATATTACATAAATTTCTGAAGCCACTGTAGATTGCTACTATTTTTGCTTTACACAATTATCTTTTTGAATGTTTTAAAGGAAAAAATTCATATTTATCTTCTTGCAGTTGTTAAATTGCTTTCCATAAATTCCAATTTTAGTCTTGCATCATATGCTTCTGTTTGAGTAACTTTATAAAATAAGAAAGATTGCTAGTAACATAGATCTTCTAGTTATATGTCTTTTGAGACTTAATTGATTTGCCCAATTTTTTCTTTCATTTTGAAGAAATTTTTACGGGATTTAGAATTCTGAATTGAAAGATTTATTCTGAACATTAATTGTCTATATATTTATTCAAACGTTGAATCATTTTCCTTATTCTTTGTTCTTTTCTGCATTTTTGTGTTTTTCTCTGGGTCATTTTACTTCTTATTAAGCATGACTTTGGGAAATAATTTAGCACATGTTTTATGGGTATTAAATCAGTTTTTCATTTGCCTTGAAGTTTCTTTATTTGATCTTCTCGATGATATTTTCTTCTGATATAGCATTTTTTCTTCTTGTATTTTAACGTGTGTTCTCTTTCCATTTGGTTTAAATAATTTGTTGGTAAGTTCTTTATCACCATTGTTATAGATAATTTAAGGGATTTTGATCGGTTTTTAATTTATTTTTTAAATGCAGCTGCTTAGAAGCTCACTTCTGTGATTCTCGTTTCCAGCAGTGTGACAAAGATGGCCCTGAGTGTGGTAACTTTGTCTTGGGACTCACAGCAATTCCACAATTTCTGACCTGGATCATTTATTAATTTTGGACAATACTTGGCCCATATCCTTTCAAATATTGCTTCTGCCTTATTTCATTTCATTCTTCCCTTCCAGGGTGTTTATTTCACGCTGTTTTATGCATCACTTGTTCTCTTTTCTGTGTTTTCTCATCCTTTTTGCTCTCCATCATTAACTTCTGACCATCTTCCAGCTCAGGGACTTTCTTTACGGTCATATTTGATGTGTTGCTTGATTCATCAATGAAGCAATGCATTTGGTTATGGGATTTTCTCTTTTACGATTTCAATGTGAGGAGTGAGGGTTGTCATGCAGTCAGTTAAGCCATTGCCTGGGACTACCATAACTCTAATCAGAGTGCCAGCTTAGGTCCTTGTACCACTGCTTCCAATCCAGATTCCTGCTAACGTCTCTGAGTGGCAACAAATGATGACTCAAGTGCTTTGTTCCCTGACACACACATGGGAGATCCGGATGGAATTCTAGGCTCCTGGCTTCAACCTGGCTTAGGCTCAGCTATTGTGGGCATTTGGGGAGTGAACCAGCAGATAGAAGATTCTCTCTCTCTCTCTCCCAGTATCTCTCTCTCTGACTTTCAAGTAGATGAAAAATAAGCAAACATTTTTTTAAAGATTTCAATTTTACTCTTTTTGTACAGATTCTGAGTTTCTAAAGAATTTTCCATCTTGTGATCTATTTTCATTGATAGATGAATCAACTGATTTTTAAGTCCATGATTGATATTCCCAGCAGCTAAGCCATCTTTTGGTTTCTGGCATGGGTTCTTTTGGGTGTGGCTGAAATGTCTGCTTACCTTTATGGACACTGGTATATTTCTCTTGAAAGCATTATATTCCCTGTCCTTTGCTGTACAGCAGTGGATCATATCACCCCAAGCCACCTGGGGACTGAGCTGGTTTGAAACTGCCTAGTAGCTCTGTAAGGTTTGACCCTCTTCTGTTTACCACTCCTATATTTTATTCTGTCAGAAATGCTAATTCACACTGGGGGTGCCTCTTAGGGTTCCTACTTATTATTATTATTATTGGGGTCTCCAGTTATGACTTTTTGTTTTCTCAATATTCTGACATTTACAAAAACTCTATTCTGCTTCTCAGTTGCTTTGTTCTGGGCTTCTCAGATTCTTAGGCTGTATGATTTGTTTG